CGTTGACACACGACTGTTCTATGGGCACTCAAATAACCTGATGTGTTTCTCTGTGAGTGCTACCACAAATGTCTGCTCGACTACACCTTCATCAGCTTTTCTTTCTACCTCCTAGCTATAAATAATGGTTTGTGGAGTAACTACAAATCTTCACAATTTACAACCAGATGCCTAGCGCCGTTAACAACATAATTGTTCAATTGCTAGTAATCATTTTAACGCTTGGCACTGGAGAAGGCTATCTAGTCAGCTGAAAATGAGGTCAGATATCTGTCACAAATGGTTGCATCAAACACAGATAATTTCAGACTATTATCGTCATTACCAGATGACGTGGTCTATTTCAGGGCTGTTCGTACAATTACCATCCTGGCTGTTACAAGGTTGATAAATTAATTGTGAAATTACAAATAGAGTAACATAAATATGACGGTAAACGAATTAGGTAATGATATCATAAAAGAGGTCGGTTCAATTTGTGTTGTACTGATAATTTATTCTGGTACACGTTGTCCCTATTATTGGTGAATCATAATGCGTCATTATCATCATCATCATGTTTCATCTCCCTCGAGTAGGTTGGCTATACAATTTCGCTAAAACAATATTCTGCGACTTTATGGTACAGATTGGGTTCTATAATATGTATTTCTTTATGTTGCCCAACATTGTGGACATTGTCTTGTCTTTCCACTCCGCCTCAGTGTTTTAGCTGACCTCTTTCAATGCCAGATGGACACGATTTAGCCCATTCTCTCCTCAAATCAATACTAGGAAAAGTGACACTGTATTTGCATAGGTGGCAATGAATTCATTGCGGGCACCAGTTCTTGTGAAGACGGCGCTTTGCCAGGCAATAAATTGTGTAATGCAGTGATTCCCAAACAGTGTACCGTGGCGCCCGGGGAGCCGCGACCTCTTCACAGGGGCGCCGCGAAATATTGTAAAAGCTTCATAAATAATTTAACCAAGACATGAATAGTCATATTTTTTACTTAGGTTAGGGCGCTGTGGAAACATTTTAATTTAAAAAACGCACCGCGACCAAGAAAGGTTTGGGAGACACTGTATTACTTGTGTCCGAATTATTGAAGCAGCGGAGATGTGGTTTTGTAGACGAATGATGAATACATACCGGATAGATTAAAAAAGAAAAAAAAAAGTAATAAGAATGTCTTGAAAGAAACTGACTTACGAAGAGAACTGACAGCCCACATCAGAAAGAGACAATCTACATTCTTTGGTCATGTGATGAAAAGGAGAAAAGTGGAGTACATCGTGACAATAGGAAAGTTGGATTGGATGAGAGGCAGAGGAAGACTGAGAGATTAGATACTGGACAGTTTGACAACATGGCATTGAAGGTCATCGTGAGGTTGTGAATAGACATTACTACCACGCTGTATGAATGTTCTTCTTCTTAAAGAAGAATGTATTTTCAAAACCTGAAAGTGCGGCCTATTCGTCAGTAAATCCCTAATTTCAAAACCCTTTTTTAGACTTCCTAATTGATTGTTGATTATCAATGACCTTAGTTAGTGTCAGAAAGTAAAAAGGATACATACATTTTCCTATGGATTGACGACGTGGCGCAGAAGACCACTAGTAAAACTTTACAAAGAATCAATGGCGGCTCGTAGCTAAATTGGTGCCGTCGCGGCTTCAAAAAAAAAAAAAAAAAAATGTAATCATTGTGTCAATGAAAAAGATCAAAGAAGACAGCGTCAGAAGGTTCCTGACAACCATGTTTGTCATACAATATAAGCTGATACGTGCTGTTGAAGATCTCTGGTTTTAAGCGTAGTGATCGACCACTCCAGTCAGCAAAGTACTTGACAATACTGAATGTTGAGCTGTTCAACTTATTAACTATAGAAATTGAGAATCTTTATGATAAAGCTGGTTTGCTCTCAGATGGAGGTAAATTCTTCTCACGGATTCTGTTGTTCGGTTAACTGGTAGTTTTGTTTATGTTGATCTCTGGGGTTCGCGCCGGACCAACGGAGTTCGTGCATTTTCACGTCGCTTTTAGCAGGCGTTAACAGTTCTACATACAGAAACCAAATCATATAGGTGAAAAATTGAATACACTAAACTCATTCCTCGTGAGCGCAGTCAATTAGTTCATCATGTAAAAGGTCTTTTGCAGAACGTAGCTCTCTTCACGGTTTGCCTGAAAGAAACTCGATCTCTTGTCAGATCTCCTACCTCGTCAACTTTCCCACTCAATGTACAACTTATATCCTGTGCCCAATTTCGTGCTGCCCCTCTTGTCTGTCATGCCTTCTGCTACTTTTCTTTCTTTCCAATCCGAATTGACGCTTCATATTTTATATCGAAAACAGTTTGGTCATGTGATTAGATGGTTTCTGTTGATGAGACAAGATGCTTTTTACTAGCCAATCTTCCTCGGTGTTCAGATCTTCTAGGATGTCGATATAGATATATATATATATATATATATATATATATATATATATATATATATATATATATATAT